CCGCTCCCGCCCTCCCCCGCTCGCTGCGCGGCAGCCTGCGGCCGGGCTCGCGCGGCCAGCGGGGCCCCGGCTTCCCCGCGGGGCTGGCTGTCAGCCGCCTTGCACGCAGCGGGGCGTTCCTTACCGCCCGGCTCTCTCCGGGTGAAACAGCTGCCCCGGCGCGGAGCTGCGGAGGTGTGGGTCTCTAGTCCCGGCCGTGGTTTCCTCCGCCGCCCGCCCACCGCCGGTCACCCCCCCAGAGGCACGCCGCTGCCACCCGCGCCTCCTTCCGTTAAGGACGCTGGTGCGGTCGGCGGCCCCTGACGCTGGCGACCGAGTGCTGAGCGAGTGCAGGTGGAGGGTCCAGGCCCCCCAGGTTCAGCCGCTCTCGGCACCGGGGCGGGGGGCGGGGTGACCCGGCGGACCCGGGGCTGCGGCGCACCAATGTCTGCAGCAGTGGCTTTTGCCCCGGTAGATTCCCACCTCTTCTTAGCCATAGAGCACGTCCTGAGTGCGCTTGCCCGCTTTCTGGAGATTAGTCTGGTGGAGGTGGGTCCTGGAGCTGCTGACCCCTGTCGGTTGTGTTGAGTTTGAGTAGCCCTTTTACTTCTTGGGGGAGTTCAGGAACGCGAAGGGCATCTTGGCAAGGTTGGCATCCATTGACACACGTGTAGGATTTCTTTATTTTATAGATAATCATAACCCTAATGGCGACTGAGTTACAACCTTACGGCCAGTGCTGGTGGAATTAGTTACAGCATGCACCTGTTTTGCGGTGAAGGGTGAGTCCAGTTGGAACACCCGTAAAGGGAAGAGCACTAATACGTATTGATGAGAACATCATTAGGAGAGCTTATTTGATGTATACTCTATAAACTTCGCTTAGCACCGCAGTCTTCTGGAGTAGCAATTGTTATTCCCTTTGTTAACTACCAGTTAAAAGCCAGATTAAATAATGTGACCAAAGTTAACGTCAGAATTCAAATCTCGGGTGTTTGGTAGTTGTTCTTTCTCAAGTTTGTCACACTCGGGATTAGGAACTCCCGTTGGCTCTCCAGTAGTTGATGTCTTCTCGCACATTTGGTAAGGCAAGTGTGAAAACAGTTGCTACTGGTGTCTTTTTTAAAAACCTTATTTTGGCATAATTTCAGATGTACAGAAAACCCGTAAGACGGGATAGAGAGTTGCACTGGTATTCAGTAAAGTGGCTTCCCCTCAGCCAATACTGGTTCCTGCTTTTTTCCAGACACTGCTCTAGGTGCTGGAGTTATAATACACTGCCTCGGAGGGTTTCAGGATCTGGCTGGGGAGACAACAGAAACAAATACAGTGCCTTTTGCCAACTGCTAACATGGAGATATGGGAGCATAGAGCAAATGGTCTGATTCTACCTGCCTGCCAGGGAGGGGTCAGAGCTTGCAGCTTACAGTGAGTTAGGTCTCGAGGATTAGTAGGTATTCACTTGCTCCATGGGACATTTGTCCCAACATTGACTCTAATAGGTTTGTGTTGTTAGGGGAGAATTCTCTAACCTTCATAAAACAGAGTCTCTTCCTCCTCTTTCCCATATTTCAGAGAAGAGGTTGGTATCATGGGGGTCACAGGTATCACAGTTGTGAGAAGAATCCCACTTCATAAATCCATGAGTAGGATAAGAAATTAAACTGTGTTTCTTATGCAGCAGTGAAAATGTCTAGACCTATAAATTTTAAAATTCTTTGTTTTCAAACTTATTAAATACTTCTTGTCTGATCACAAGTGTTCTTTTTTTTTTAATTTTTTTAATTTTTATTTTTGAGAGGGAACACAAGTGGGAGTGGGGCAGAGAGAGACACACACATACACACACAGGCTGGCTCTAGGCTCCAAGCTGTCAGCAGAGAGCCCCCTGTGGGGCTCAAACCAGCAAACTACGAGATCATGACCTGAGCCAAAGTTGGACGCTTAACCGACAGCCACCCAGGTGCCCCAGATCCCACGTGTTCTTTATGCACAGACAGGGACACAGTTGCTCTGAACTATAACCTGCTGCGTGAGATCCCACGCCAGACATTTGAGTGAGTGTCATAGCTTGGCTGCTGTAACAAAATATGATAGCCTGGGGGACTGAAGCCACAGACATTTACGCCTGGCAGCTCTACCCAGGATCGTGATGCTGGTTCCTGATGAGGACTCTTCTTGGCTTACAGAAGGCAACTTTCTTGGTGTGTTCTCACATGGCAGAGAGCGAGAGAACTCTAGTCTCTCTTCTTTCCTTTTTTTTTAAAACAGATTTTCTTTTTTAAAGTTTATTTATTTTGAGAGAGTGCGCATGCACAAGCGGGGGAGGGGCAGAGAGAGTGGGAGAGAGAGGATCCTGTGCCAACTCTGTGATGTCAATACGGAGCCTGACATGGGGCTCAAACCCGTGAACCGTGAGATCATGACCTGAGCCTAGATCAAGAGTCGGATGCTCAACCAACTGAGCCACCCAGGTGCCCTGCTCTTGATTCCTTTTGGAGACCCTACCCTCATGAACTCATTTAAATTAAATTACCTCTCAAAGGCCACACCATCACATTGGGGATTAGGGATTCAACATATGAATTATGCAGGACGTAATTCAGTCTACAGTAGATGGGTTTCCTAGAGACATTGTCATTATGTGGGATTCCTCCTACACACACCTGACATAGAACTAAATACGAAACCTTAGAATCAGCATTTCCGTAGCTTTGGTTAATGCAAATGTAATTTTATCTAAATAAATTATTTTAGATAGATATGGTTCAGAGACCAGTTGAGGAAAAGAAGGCATTTTCATTGTTTCTTTCTAATGAAAAAGAGATAGGTGGTGAAATGCTGTGGTGGTCTTTTCGTTTTAGGCTTTAGAGGAATGAATATTTTCCTAGATTGATCAAATCTGGGTGTAAGGACTGTGGCAGTGATCTGTTCCAGTTCCCTCCTTGTTTTGTAAGGAGGCTGAGCCCCCACAGAGGCTGAGTAATCTTTCTCAGAGATTAGTGAGAGAACAGGGATTAGAGTCAGGCTTCCTGATTTACAGGCTAGTCTTTCTGCTTCCATCATTGGTTCTCAAACTTAGGGTGCATCAGAGTCACTTGGGGAGCTTTGTGAAAAAACGCGCTGAGCATACCCCCTGGAGGCTCTGATTTGGCAGGTCTGGATTGGGGCTGATAATTTGCATTGTGACAAATTCCTCCTGGGCTCTGGGGTCACACTTTGGGAACCCTGGTCTTCTACGATGTTGCCTTTGATCTCTTACAAGAAGAGACTAAGTAAACTCCATGGGTTTATACCAGTATAATGTTTTCCCTGGTACTCAGAGAGTCAGGTTCCTTAATTTTGTGCTATAAACAGCAATGCACCAAAACCATAGTGATTAAATGGGGGAGAAAAGGACTAGAAATATGGCATTTCTCAGAGAGTCATTTTGACATTTTCAGGGATAATTTTTGGACTTAACTCTAGAGGTCAAAACCGCTTACTGCTGAAGGGAATATATGTGAAGTGTGAGGGCCCTCCCTCTTCACAACATTTGCACTAAAAAGGGTGTCAGGATTAATTGCTAGATTGTGTAGGATTGAAAAATTACTTCCAGTTTTGTTACTCAATGCTTTTCTCTGTACTGTTCTAAAATGTTCATTTCTTATATATCAAAATCTTATCAGGCTCTAGCACAGTTACATGCCCATGAATGAAAGTTGAATTAAACAAACATTAAGGGAGAAAATAAAGTAGGTCATTTATCTGGAGAGATTTCAGTTCCCTAGGAAAGTTACTGTACTCAATACATTATCCCAGCTATAAGCTTTTATGAAATAATTACATTTCATTCCAATTTAGGCCTTATTTGGAATTACTGGGATTGTTTTAGCACAATTTTGGAGGATGTAGCCTATCTTTATGTTACATTTAATCAGTGATCCCTCTCATACCTTTGTAGTATTCAGTTGCAATGATTTGTTAGCACTTTATACTTTGAAATAACTTTAGAATTATAAAAAAATTGCAAAAATAGTTCAAAGAGTTCCTGTAGACTTTCAACCAACATCCCCTTGTTAACATCTTATGCATCCATGGTGCAGTTATGAAAACCAGACACATGATAACATTATTATTTGAGTTTCACCACGGATGTCCTTTTTCTGGTCCAGGATCCAATCCAGTGTCCCACGTTGCATTAAGGTATTCTGTCTCTTTAGTCTCTTCCAGAATGTGACAGTTCCTTTTGGGTTTCTTTATTTTTCATTACCTTTATACATTTGAAGAGTGCTGATCAGTTATTTTGTAGAATGTCCCTCAGTTTGGATTTGTCTGATGTCCTTTCATGATTAAATTGAGGGTTAAGCATTTTGGCAGGAATACCACAGTGGAGAAGTTGTGCCCTGCTCAGTCTTGTATTGGGACATGCGTGATATAGATACGTCTTGCTACTGATGAGTGTTAATTTTGATTTCTTGGGGTAGTGTGTGATATCTGTGCTCTAAATTAAAAAATTTTCCCTTTGTAATTAATGAGTTTCATAACTTTACCGATTTTTGGTACAGCAGATTAAAAGGAATGAACATATAATGTCAGAATCCTTTGAGCCTATCCCCAATTGTGAGATGTTTCTTATCATGAGAGGCTTAGACACAAACATAACAGGATAAGGGAAAGTGTAGGCTCTTGGAAGAATGGTTATTTGCTCAAGAACTGGTACTTGGTCTTGGTCAGTCTCACTTTTGAATTGGCAGGAATGGAAGCTGTTTGTCCCAACTCTTTTGCTGTGGTTCTGCAGTGTCTCACATTTGTTTTCCAGCGTGTGACTTTCTGTAATGACACTGCATTTCTTAAAATTCTCCCTAGAGTCTTTTTGTAGAAGATAGATGCACTTCATTCATCACAAGGCATTTGCTCTAAGTGTGCTCTCCTCACCAGCACTGGCTGGTCCGTGGAGCTGGGCGCATGTGTTCTCTTTGTATGCCACGGTGAGATGCTGGATGGGTTACGGGCGGGGGGGGCCCCCCCCAGGTACTTGACAAATATTTATGAATAAATGAATATTTATATGTGTATTTTGTTAACTGCTCTTGTAAGTTACCAGAGTATTGCGGATAACTTTTCACATTGACACAGCTGTGTAATCTGCAGTGTTCCGGGATGTGGACGTACCACAGCCTCTTCTGTAGCTCATCTTGCATCATTTGATATTAGTTTGTTTATAAGTTTTGTATTATA